CAGCTCCAACAACCTACTCATAGGCTGTCAAACATCAGCACTGGCGCTTGGCTATGTCTGCCGAATTTCTCGCGTTACAACAACAAGGAACCTGATCCTTAGAACCTCACCCCATCAACAAAATAGTACTTGGTTGATGTTGACCTCGTTTTTGTCCTGATTTACACTCGAATGTGTTTGCTCGTGTTGATCGAGCCTCGTCGAGCCTAGTTAAATTCAGGTTGATGTTGATTTCGGTCTGATTTAGTTGATGTAAATTTGATTCCATTAAAATTAACTTGATGAGACTTCAATCTAACTTGAATCGACTCGAAATTGGGTTAAATTAGACCCAATTGCATTCGCTTAAATTAGATTCGTTCATTTTTATAGCATCGTCGAGTTTGATTTGATTTAAGTCATTGATTGATTCTGATTTAATTTTGATTAGTTTGGTCGAGTCCGAGGTGAATTCAATCAAACCCAAATCGGCTCAATTCGAGTTAAATCAAGTCCGACCTGGACTCCAATTTGATCCAATTCAGCCTACAATAATTTCAATTGAATGCTAATTTGCCTTTTGAAAATTTTGAATATGATGTTAGATCCGGAAGTGCGATGGACGGCTCTGATCTCCCCTATTTTTCTCTAATGCCCTAACCGAGGCCAAAGCCTCTAACTCACGCCCGCCTCCTTGAAGTCTAAGGCCCGGAATTCGCTGCTTCTCCCTGGCTCTCCCGATCTGCTCTCAGTTTTCGCATGAGCAAGAGGGGCGGAAGTCCCCCCCCCACTCCGTCTCCTCTCTCTCTCTCTCACTTGAGCTAGAGGACGACTTCCCTCCACCCCTCTCTTTCTCTGGCGTGAGCCTAGCTCGTGAAGCCCAAAGCCGATCGAGATCCTCTTCCCCTGCCTCTACTTTGTTCGTGAGACAATCGGCTTCGCACAGCACCAGGCAGGATCTCCTTTCCCTCTCGGTTTTACACGGCCCAGGTTGTGAGTTCTCTCTTCGTCCGATCCCGCTTCCAGCGACGAAGCCCAAGAAGAGTCGTAAGCTCCAAGCGAACTCGGACCCGTGGCCTTGCCCGACGGCAACCCCGACGCTCTCCGGCCGAAGCCCTACACTCGCCTCTGTTTGGACCGAACCCGACGACCTAGCTCCGCCTTCCCAGCCGAGCTCGATGCAAGTCTAGTCGCTGGAATCTCTGTTCTAGTCGACCAACCTTCCTCTAAAGCAACAGGTAATCATTTCCTTCTAGTTCTCCTTCTTCTTCTTCTTCTTGTTCACCAGTTTATCTGTGACGTATTGTGAACTGTTAATCTTAGAGATGATCCATGGGCTTTTGATAATCAGTTGTTGGGATCACAGAATGTACTAGCTTTGGAGGGTGATGAAGTTCTAGTGAAAATTTCTTTACCAGTCTCATAGATATACCGACGATTATGATAGTGAAAGCTAATATTATTTATGGACTCATTTGAATTGGATGTGATTTACCGATATCTCTCTATAAAGTCACAAATTATCACTCCCTTGACCAACTGGAAGTTTTCTAATTGGTTTTCTTTTCTTTCTTTTTTTTTTTACATGTCAGCTGAATATGTTTATTGTCAAGTTCTTATGAAGGATTCTTTTCACTAATTGGAATTAGAAAATATTGCGTAGTATCTCAAAGTTGATTATATCTGTTCCATTTGATTGGATGCAGTTTGAAATAAAATGAATTGAGTGAGAAATGTAATTGGTTTTCACATGGAATGTTTGTGATAATGCCTCAATGAGATAAGTGGTATACATATATGATAGATCTTGTTTGGAATGAAGGAGTCTGAATGCGGGTTTATGTTTTTGTGGTAACTGCAAACATTCTTTGATGTGCACTTGCGTCGATTACCACTGGGCCATGTCAAGTTGAAATTATTCTACTAGTATTTGAATAGATTACAAAGATCGTGTCTCAATTTAAAGACGGTCGGATTACTAAAGTTTGGGAAGTGAGTTGAGCTTCATGTGAATGTTAGTGGTCTGGTAGAAGTCTGATGGTCGCAGAGCGAAAGTCCGACAGCTATAAGGAAGGAATCCGACAATAGTTGATGGCTAGGCGAAAGTCTAGTTACAGTCGATGGTCAGGTAGAAGTCCGGCAATAGTTAGTTACCAGGTGAGTCCCAAGTAGAAGTCCAATGACAAATGGTGGTCGCTGATAAAAGTTATAGTATCGAGACTGATCTTCGCCCATTAGATTTCGTAGGGGCTTCGCTCACTTGAGATATTTAGAATTTCGAATTTCCATCAGAATGTTAGCCCATGATGTATTTAAAAGAGTGTAATTAGGAAATCTTGGATTTCATAGGGGCTTCAGTCCCTGTTCCCACTAACTTATCTATCTCTCCACTTCTTCTGGTCCACATTCCACTCTCACCAACCCACTGTATACTTGCTAAAGACAATCTTATGTTCGTTCGTCCACCGATACACCTCAATTCATCCCGTCAACACACCCTTCAAATCCTTCCATTCCCACTAATCCTATTCCTGTCATCTCTCCTCCCTCAGCTAGTCCCACCTCTACACCTGATTCTCCATCCAACACCACCTATTCAACATCTGGCTCATCCACTCAACCTCATCAATTAGCCTCAACACACCCCATGACAACTCGACTAAAATTGGGTATCACAAAACCCAAGCTGTTAGCAATATCCTCCTCTTTGACAGCTCCAACAACCTACTCACAGGCTGTCAAACATTAGCACTGGCGCTCGGCTATGTCTGCCAAATTTCTCGCGTTACAACAACAAGGAACCTGGTCCTTAGTACCTCAGCCTATCAACAAACTAGTACTTGGTTGCAAATGGATGTACAAAATAAAAACGCTTCCATCAAGACAAGTGGACAAATACAAAGCAAGATTGGTGGCTCAAGGTTTCGCGCAATAGTTTGGCATCAACTACAACGAGACATTCAGTCCATTCACCAAAATATTGACCATAGGTATTCTACTCACTCTAGCTCTCCATCGCAACTGGTCTATTCAGCAACTGGACGTCTCAAATGCATTTCTCCACGGCAATCTCTCTGAAGACGTCTACATGCGGAAACCACTCGAATTCATCGACTCTCAACTACCCAATCACATATGCAAGCTTCATAATCTTTTTACAGACTTAAACAGGCTCCGCGATAATGGTTCCTAAAGCTTACACACTTCCTACTTCAATTTGGTTTCTGGTTTAATCGCTCTGATCCCTCCCTTCTCCTATACCAATGCAAAAACATTCAATTATGCTTTCTAGTCTATGTTGATGATATTCTTCTTACAGGTAACGATAACAACACTATCAACCGCCTACTCACTCACTTGCATTGAAATTTCAAGCTCAAGAAAATGGGTGATGTCTCTCTATTCTTGGGAATTCAAGTAACCAAAATTGCAAACGGGTTTCTCCTAAAGTAACAACACTACACTCACAACTTGCTTGAGAAGGTCGGATTCCCCGACAGCAAACCTGCTCCAATACCGATCACTCCCAAACCAAAGTATCAAACTACCTTTGATCTTTTATACTCGGACCCTCACCTTTACCGCAAGCTAGCTGGCTCTCTATAATATCTATCAATCACACGACCCGACATTGCATTCACCATCAACTCCATATGCCAACATATGCACAACCCCACCATCATGGACTTTCAATCTCTCAAATGTTTACTACGCTACATCAAAGGTACCTCACACTTTGGTCTAACCATCACTCGCGGAGATCTTCAGCTTCGCACTTTATACATTTCTTGGTCATAATATCATTTCTTGGTCTTCCAAGAAATAATCCACAGTAGCAAAATCATCCACCGAAGTAGAATATTGCACACTCTCTACCACCATCTCGGACATTCTTTGGCTTCGTCGTCTCGTCGAGGAACTTCAAATTCATCAAACTTCACCAACTACCATTCATTGTGATAACACCTCTGCCATCGCTCTTACTCACAATCCGATCTTCCATGCAAGAACAAAACATATTGAGATTGACCATCACTTCATTAGCGAGCATCTCTACTCGGGGAACATATCAATCATTCATCTTAGCTCAATTAATCATATTGCATATATTTTTACTAAATCAAGCCAGATTCATTGCACTTTGTAACAAAATGAACATTCATCCAATGAATGCTCATTTTGAAGGGGCATGTTAGTGAACCAATATTGTGGCACTGCTTTACTTATGTTATTCCTCTATATCAGGTTACATGTTTGAGTTTCTATTTATATCGCCTCTGTACCTGATGGAAATGAATAATACAATTCCTTTATGTTTCTTCATTCGTTATGTTCCATCTTCATCTTCTTCTCCGCCAACTAGGGTGTTTTCAATATTTTTATCTTAAGCTTCATTTGAGATGGTTTTCTTACTGCTTCATAAAGAAGCTTTCTAGTACAACAAATAAATTTTTTATACTAAAAAATTGTTTTAAGAAGCAGTAAGAAAGTCGTCCCAAATGAAGCCTTAATCTTTAGCTACACAATGATTGTCATTGAAGATTAGTGATGTTATTTATTAGGTAAAATTTTTGTCTTTGATGTTGTTATATATTTGCACATTAAACCTTAAACCTAAAAAGTCATTAGAAAATCATATTATTAACTTTGAGCATTGCTCAAAACTTATTCTGACCTTGATCACTTTTGATCAAACAGTGTTCAGAGCTCATTTGAAAATCGTTCAATTATTGAAAATAAGGTTTACGGTAAAGCTCCTCGTCCGGGCTTTAGAGCACTATATATTGTGATCTAATTGGTGAAGTTATGTTTGGACTTATGTTTTATTTAGAATGATTTTTTTAATGTTTCTTAAAATAAATTTTTAGCACAATTTTTTTTAAATTAAAAATAAATAAATTAAAAATTATTTTAGAAAGCAATAAAAAAACTGTCCCAAATAAAATCGAGTAGAATTAGAATTGAGGAGAAGTTAGTGGTTGCATACATTGTATTGATATCCAACATTAACAAAATGAATCAAATATCAATAAATTATTAATTTCAAATGATACACAAAAATTTCTTTACAAAAGTATAGAGTAAAATAACTTCTTCCAAAATTTTATACATAATTATAATGGTAAAAGGAGAGCAGATCAACCCAATTAATTTCTATGCATATAGTATCAACGAACAGCAAGGAGACAACATACGAAACGCCGGCGGCCCCTTCACCACCTTCCATTCCACCTTCCATCCATTTCCCTCCTCCTTCCTTAGCGCAATAATCTCTCCCACCGCAACATCTAGCCCTTTCCCCACCACATAAATCGTCCCCTCCTCCGACCCACTGACGGTGAACGGCCGCCGGATTTCAGACGGAACGCCGCCTCCGTCCACCGCATCCCAGTCATCTTTGTCCTCGTCGTAGACCTTCACACGAGCGTCGCCGAATTCTGAGACGACGAAGAGCCTTCCCATGGCGACGGCGCTCGAGCCCGTCCATCCTTCCCTCATCCCCTCCCGCATTTCCTCCCACTCGTCTCTCTTACCGTCGTAGACCGCCGCCCGCGGCGTGAAGCTGAACGGCCACCGCCAGCCCTCCGTTACATACATCCTCGAACCCATCACCGCCGCGTCGTACCTGTTTGGATTAATTATATGTATGAGCATACAAAATTTGGGTTAGATATCCTAATTAAACTTTTATATACATACCTTAAAATTTATCATAATTAAACTTTTAACCATATTTTAATAGTTAATTTTTTAAGAATATTTTTTTTAATCACTCATTTAAATATAAATATAAATATTTTAGAAATCATTTTAATTAATATGGCTAAAATTTGATTAAAAAAATTAAAATTTTTAAATGAGTTTTAAAAAATATATATAATATATAAATAATTAATTAATTTTCCATTTAAAGTAAAATTAACAATTTAATTAACAATTAAAAGACAAATCTAACCAAAATTTGCATCAAATTTCCAAATCTACTTATTTTTTTTGAATTTAGTATTTCCACTTTCTCTCTTTTCCTGTTATAAAAAAGTCAAAATATATTTCCATTTTATTTAATTTTAAATTAATTATTAATGTATTATATTTATTTTAAAATAACATCAAACATTTTTTAAAATTCATTATAATAAAAATATCCTAATCTATTTTTGGACAAATTAAAAAAGAAAGCTTAAATTAATATAAATTAAAATTAAAAAGGCTTGACTAAAAAATAATTTAAAAAGAGCAAAAATATCAGAAAATAAATAAAAATAGGCGTCTTAAGAAAACTGAAAAGATATTTTGCATTTTCTATGAAAAAATAAAAAAAATAATTGCATTTTACTGTAGAGACTGAAGCCCTTTTTTCTCCCAGCTCACAGCCCATGATATCAAGTGTAATCCGATATATTAAAATAATATAATTTTACTATTCAATACTTTTCATTCCGGTGATATAAATAATGCCGACTTTAGGGGATAAAGCATAATGCACTATTGTCTCTAAGTTTGATGCTATTTATAGCACCGAAACAAATAGTATTAAATAGTAAATTAAATTATTTTAATTATATGCCATTCCCCGTGACTCCACAGGTGGACCGCGATTTCTACCGTAGAATCCAATTATTTTCTATATTTTCTAGTTAAAACATAAAATATTTTTTTTGGTTTTGTTAAAAAATACATTTTTTACGTTTTTTTATTTTTTTTTTAAAATATCTCCTAATCGCCCCTTTCGCTTAATTTATGTTAATTTCAGCTCTTTTTAAATAAGGGTGGGTAAATTAAAGATAGAATATAACTTAACATCACAATGAAAATGAAAGGTCTAGAGAAAACTAATGGAGGATGAAAATAGATGAAGAAGAGTCAAATCTTTCCTTTTTGCAATATTTAAAGAGTTGCACGGTTACGGATGTCAAAATGAGTTTTCGAGTTAACTTTAGGTACAATATGAAGTTAACCAGGCTTTAACTCTTTTGACTCGAACTATTCCCGATTTGATAAACGTGTTATAAGTCTGAATCTGAACCTGACCCGACCCGAATTTGATCAACATGACTCAACCCGCTAACTCGAGTGCAAGTGAGCGGATGCAATGCACGAGCGAGCAAACTCGATGCGTGAGGTCGTGAGTGCAATGCGCGAGCACAAACAAGACAACGAGAAATATTGTGCTTTCGGATTGACTTATGTTACTTTTGAGTTTTCAGGTTGACCCAAATCTGACCCGAAAATACAATCGGGTTGCAATATAAAATCCAAACCTGACGAATTTTTCAAACTACTTGACCCAAACTCAAACTTTTCGGGTTAAGCCAAATGTTGAAATCCTAGTGACATCCAAATGTGTAAAGAAGACAAGCACTTATAAAAGTCAAAAAGCCACAACAGTAAATTTTAATCAATAGGGACACATCATTAATTAGATCACCCAAGTCTAACCGTCCAATCTAATTTGAATATTTGAATTGAAATAATAAAATTAAATGGATTTTAGAAAAATAATTAATTTAACCTGGACCGTTCAAAGAATAGTGGATGATTATCATTAGGTAAGTGTGCCACTAAATTATTATTAATGAGGATTCCAAAATTTGTGGTGGATAGGAAATTTTGATGTGAGGCAATAATAACATGAAAAAAAAAATAATTGAATTATATATATATAAACAAAATTTATATTAATGATATTTTTTATATAATTTAAAATTTTGATCACTATGTAAATAAATATGAAAATTTAAATATCAATTATATAAATATACAATAGTTTTGTGGTATATATGAAAATCCAATTAAAAGAAATAAAAATTCTCAGACATATAATTTTAAGATATATGACACACAAAATCCTTTAAGATTTCTCTTATTCTTGCTGCAATTTAGATTTATATTTGATCATATGCCCAAAAAAAAATTTTATCATATGCCCATACAATTTATAACTGATATAAAATTTATAATTATTTTTTAGTCAAACATATTGTTAATAAAATATTTGAGCTAAATGTCTTTACAAAAAAAAAATATAAAACTTTAAAGAAGCAAGGACGATTACTGCCTCACTGCCTTTGTTGAACGATTTCTTATACAAAATTCTAACCAAATTTGATTTGAGTTCGTTAGCAGGAAATTTGTTCAAATTAAAAAAAAAAGTAAAATAATATCTATTAATTATGCAAACGACAAATGCAAATGCCAATTAAAAAAATTAAAAGAAAAAAAATTCGAATTCCAAGAAAAAGTACCTCCCGATTCCTTCCAATCCCATGCCCGCCGCTGGCCGCCACCGCCCTCCGGGCTCCCACCTCTCCACGCTATCTGTCCCACCGTCTCCGCCCACGGCGAGTATTCCTCGTCCATCAATAGCCCCAGCGGAGAAGAAGGCCCGCGGTTTGATCATCGGCTCCGCCACAGACCACGAGTTGGTCCCGGCGCGGTACATCATGACAGACCGCAAAGGGGTGTGGGTGTCAGATCGGAGTCCACCGAGAACAAAGAGCTCGCCGGAGCGTGGAATAGAGGCAAAGGCAAAGGCCGGGGGACAAGCCGGGGTGCTACCGGAGTCAGGAGGCGAGGGCATCGAGGGAAGGTGGAACCATCGGAGGGAGCGAGGGTCAAGCGATTGCCATTGAGAGCCCAGATTAGAGGGGTCGAAGGCGAAGACGAAGAGGTGGGCAAGGAGGGATTTGGAGCTGAGAAAGGCGGAGCTCGAGAGGGCGCGATTCCATGGGGAGGAGACGGAGCGGGCAAGGGAGTGGTAAGGGAAAGGCAAGTGGAGGAGACAGTGCACGGCGAGTTCTTCAGGTAGGCCGGGGATGAGAGGCGGAGCAGAGAAATTGGGGCTCATTTTGGTTCAGTGGGTTTGTCTGGTTGGAGAATTAGGGCGGGGATTTATAGAGGAGAGGGAAAGGAGAGATAGAGAGAGATAGAGAGAGAGCAGTGGACACAGTTGTTGTCGTGGAGTGGGAGTGGTGAGTGGAGTGGGGACGAGCACGATAAAGGCTGCAGATATCATTCTTGTTGGACGGTTGCGTCGGCGGGCGGGCGGGCGTTTTAGAAAGCAGTAAAAATGTTGTCTCAAATAAAACCTTAGTTTATATATATATATATATACCTCAAATATAAATCTAAGATAGGGTTTTATACTAAAATTAGGATAATTACATCAACATATGTGTAGTACAATAAGGGATTACAATGGGGATTATACTCGAACTTTCAAAAAAGTTGAGCAAGTCTTAGGATGCCACCTAATAAGGATAGCCAACTAGACCAACTTATGGTCATCTTATTGGATGCAAAATAGGTTAAATTATCTTAAATTTAAGAAATCTTAAGACTTTGCCACTAATGATAGGCAAACTAATTATGTAAGAATTAATACTAACGTAATGGCAATTTAATTTAGTTATATATCCCAATATCAAAAAGTATTTTAGTTTATGAATAAGAAAAATATTGTGATAACCCTAAAATTATTTTTTCTTAATTCCCGAAAATTTGGCTGGGTCACACCTTGGCATTGAGCTCTCAGATTTATGGAATTTGATGGAGCACTTTGTGTTAACATAGTCCGGCAACACATCATACCTCCACTACCTGCTGCAGAAAACTACTCACATGGCTCTCGGCTTCCATGTGCTCTAATGATTGCTTTCTGTTATCAATAGATGATAAATATAAATACTGTAGCAAACAAATGTGTGCAATGAGAAAATGACTTAATCCATCGTCTTCCTCACCTTCTCCTTCTCTGTTTAGTTCTAACATTCCTTCCATGTACTTTCTCATGGTATCAGAGCTGCTGTAAGCCTCGCGGCTAATCTTTCCGCAGCGGCACTATGGAATCCGGCAGTTCTTCATCCTCGGCGTCGAGTACCACTGAATCGGCACAGGTTCTCGGCACAGTTCTCATACCGCCTCAGCTGAAATTTTTTATGTCCACGATCAAGAACGTCATTACCATTCAGCTTACTCCAGAAAACCACCTAACCTGGAAGTCGCAGATCTTAAAGGTGTTTCGTGCCAACTCCTTTGAAGGATATCTTGACGGTACTTGGGAATTGGTTCAGCCGCCGAAGTCTCAAATTATCATTGGGTGTAAATGGATTTACAAAATCAAGAGGAATTCTGACGGCACAATCACTCGTCATAAAGCTCGTCTAGTAGCCCAAGGCTATCGACAAGAGTATGGCATTGATTATACAGAGACGTTTAGTCCCGTTGCAAAGTTACCTACTATTTGCCTGTTTATCACCACTGCGGTTATCCGAGAATGGTCCATCCTTCAATTAGATGTGTCAAAAGATTTTCTTCATGGGGATCTAAACGAAGTGGTATATATGCATCAACCGCCGGGTTTTAAGGACCCTAACTATCCTGATTTTGTATGTCGCCTACATAAAGCAATCTACAGGCTTAAGCAGTCTCCTCGACAATGGTTTGCCAAATTAACTACACATCTACAGTCTTGGGGTTTTCTGCACAGTGACGCCGATCCTTCTCTCCTTGTGTATAATCACAATTCGCATCTCATATATTTTTTAATATATGTCGATGATATATTAGTGACTAGCAACAATTCAACTCTTATTGCTAAGCTTTTGCTTCATATACAGCACCAATTTCAGCTCCGCAACTTGGGCAATCTATCTTACTTCTTAGGCATTCAAGCAGTGTCTACTCCTACCGGCAATCACCTACATCAAACCAAATATGCGCTCGATATTTTACAAAGAGCTAGTATGGCTAATTTCAATTCGGTCCTCACACCGTTTCCCGCAAAATTGAGTTTGGACGAAACTTCTCTCTCTGTGTTTGAAAATCCTGAATTCTTCCGGCATCTAGTTGGCTCCTTACAATACTTGACGATTACACGACTGGACATTGCCTTTGCCGTTAACAAGTTATGCCAGTCTATGCATTGTCCGCTGTACCAACATTTTAGTGCTCTCAAATTAACACCTCCTTCGGTATATTAAAGGAACCGTTGATCTTGGCTTACCCATCTCCGGTCATTCCTCTATTCTACAAGCTTATGTTGATTCAGACTGGGCTGGTGACCCGTCCGATCGGAAGTCAACTACAGGCTATTGTCTATATCTTGGGGATACTCTTCTTTCTTGGTGCGTCAAGAAGCAGCCAACTGTGGCGAAATCCTCTACGGAAGCCGAATATCGAGCTTTGTCAACAGCCACCACAGACATTATTTGGATTCGTCGACTACTGGCTGATTTTAAATTTAGTGTTGATACACCTACCTCTCTTTACTGTGACAACGTTTCTGCTATTGCCCTTGCACACAATCCAGTTTTTCATGCTCGCACCAAACATATAGAAGTGGACTATCATTTCCTTCGTGATTGCATCAAATCAGCCACTCTTACTATTCTTCATATAAATTCTCAAGATTAAATTGCTGATATTTTTACTAAAGCTCTCCCTCGTCTACGGTTTACTGCTCTTTGCTCCAAGCTTCAGGTCACTCCGTCCCCATCAGCTTGAGGGGAGATGTTAACATAGTCCTGCAACACATCATACCTCCACTACCTGCTGCAGAAAACTACTCACATGGCTCTCGGCTTCCATGTGCTCTAATGATTGCTTTCTATTATCAATAGATGATAAATAGAAGTACTGTAGCAAACAAATGTGTGCAATGAGAAAATGACTTAATCCATCGTCTTCCTCACCTGCTCCTTCTCTGTTTAGTTCTAACATTCCTTGCAGGTACTTTCTCACTATGGTGCTGAATCTGGAGCGTTACGACGTTGGATATGAAATTATATTCCAATTCATCAAAACCTCACACTATAGCCCCATCTCACCTCATTTTCCTTGTTTGGTTGAGAGAGAAGAGAGAGAAAGATATAGAAGGAAAGAAAGAGGAGAGAGAAAGTAGGGATCATACTGATATATTTTGTTACTCCAATTGGGATAAGTGTTCTGATCAAGATAGGTAACCCTACTACTTTTGATTTCAATTATTTAATGTTTTGCTTATTTTTCTCCCCTGAAATTGATAAAAATGCAATATCTTTCATTTTACTGATTTTTATATTTCTTGTAATTTTTTATATGTAGTAGATATAATTCCCTTGAATATTTTGACTGGTTTATATTAAAATTTCATCAGTTGGTTTTGCACATATAATGCCTAAGGAGCTAAAGGAGGAATTTAACCTACCTTAACTACATACTTCTCAAACCCAATTTCATATTTCACTACCAAAGCTATCTAATGGTCAAAAAATAAAAAAATAAAAAAAGATAAAATATACATAAAAGTTTTACCAACTCTTCTTCAAATTTTCATTTATTTAAAGATCCAAAATAATAGATCAGAAGACAGTGATTTCAATAAAATACCTAAATAAATTTTATACTTACAAAACAAGGTAAATTCCTTACGACCCACAACTCATGCTCCCTATCATAATCAACCTAGTTAGCAAGATCATTCCTTTTTTTTTTTTTTGAAATATTTTAAACATTTAGAATATAGAACTCACTAGGCCAACCTATCTTTATAACATTATTTAATTCACAACTTCTAATTACAATAAGCAAGAATGCAGAAGGTTTACATTTTATTCTAACCTATAATAGAACAAAATTTATACTTTATATAGCATAGCAACATGATAAGTTAAACTCATATGTGATAAGAAAAAATTTAGTGAGTTTATATTTCATATTTTATGATATTTGTGTTTTTAACCCTTATATTCTTGTCCATGAAATGGATTAAAAATCATTAAAATTTAAGAAACACCGTAACGCCACAAAAGTAGCACCATATATCTCCATAGTGCCATATCACTACCACTTCAGCACTGCAGCAGAGGGCCTCAAAACATTTGCGGGATAGCTTAGCATCGAGGCGCTAGCCAAGAAGCACCACAACGCTAAATGACCCAATGTCGTAATGGGAGATAGATTGATTGATGAACTAATGTGATGAATGGTGAATCGATGCACCGATCTAGCAGCACCACATAGGCACCAAGCTAACGCCGCAGTGCCAGTTCAATTATTTTATAAAAATATTAAAAATACCTTAGCAGTCATGTAAAGATGTTGGCACCTTAGGGAGTTGTGTGTGTGTGAATGAGTGGGAGAGGCTACTCTAGTGAGGAATAGGCTCTTATGTACTTGTTTGGTGGCTTGCATTAGTGTTGATCAAATTGGAGGAGTGAGAATAAATTTATACTTTGGATCTGTGTCACTTTTAACCTTTCTTCTATCATGTATTTTGTTTTGAAGTTTGTTTTGTATTTATCAGTAAAATAAAAATATTTTTGTTGTATAATTTTGTCTCCATGTGTAGCGAATTAGTAATTATTTAAAAGCCATGAATTGCATAGAGTATGTTTGATCTTCATATATTACTTAAGTTGTTTTTAATTCCTCCAAGCTTCATTTGTTTATATATAGGTCATGCATAAACTTTAAAATCTAATGTGATATAGAGCCTTGACACTGTAGTAGAAGAATAATTACTAATTTTAAAATTTAGTCTTGCCATAATATAGACATATGGTGGTTAAAATTATGGAATCTTAAGGAGATAGTAGAATAGTAGTTAGGAGGAATCCTAGCTAATACTCTAACGAGCCCAAAAGAGACGAGGAGTACTTACACTCTTATTCACAGTAACAATAGGTAAAAATCATTCTTATCAATTCAAAATTTTATTTTAACAAATAAAAATAGTGTTTTAGTTCAACTAAAGTTTCAAAATGTTGTTATATATGATCTCTGATAATTTAGTTAATTTTTTAAATGTAAACTTTTGCTAAGTAGGATTTTTTATTATTTGTCATTAGAATATTTTGTTGAATTAAACATAACTATGCTTTATTTACTACAATATATT